CCCCCGCCATGCCCTCCCCCGGCAGCCCCGGCCCCCCAGGCCCGCCCCGCTCACCGTTCCTCAGCTCGTGCTTGACGGTGAGCAGCGGCAGCTCCCCTTCCTCCGCCGGCCCCGAGGGTCCCTCCATGTTTTCACAGGCGGGCGCTCCCCCGCCTCTGCCGCTCCCCGTGTGTGTGAGCGCGGAGGCGGGGGGACGTCACCTGGCCTGAGGCGGATTTTATTTTCCAGGGGCGCTCCGGGGGAGAGGAGCCATGCAGGCGCGCTGGGGGCGGGGGGCGGCTGTTCTCCCCTCCGCCTTGGCGAAAACGGGGGGGGAACCAACCACACCACCCAACAACAAACAGTTATTAAAATACAGGGAGGCACACGCACGTCGGCTTCCCTCCCCCGGCCCTCAGAGCCAGCCCATGTCCTTGCGGCTCCCCTCCCCCTTTGCGCTGGCCGCCCTCCCCGCCCAACAGCAGGGAGCGGAGCCGAGCCGGGCCGAGCCCAGCGCGGCCCAGCCGGGATAGGCTGAGCGAGACGGGAGGAGGGGGCGCCCTCAGGAGCGGCTCCTACTCAGGCGCTGGCGCTCGCGCCCCCTTCCTCCCCTCGCCTCGCCGGGCGCTCATTGGGCGCGCGCGCCCGCGAACCCCAGCGACTGTTGGGCAGAGAACGTTCTACGTGCCTCCTTCCGCCGAGCGGCGCGTTGCCTCATTGGATCAGCGGCTGCGCCAATCGCTGGCTCCGCCCCCCCCGCTTTCCCCCCAATCCCTCTACTCCCTAATCTTGTTTGTAAACATTCCCGCCCGCCTCTCCCACTCCCCTCCCACCCCGCTTGAGGGCGGGCGCCGGGTTGCCTGGAGAAAAGAGAAGGCGCTGATTGGCCGTGGGGCTGGCAATCATCTGAGGGAGCGGCGGTGGCGCCCTTCCCTTGGGTTACGGGCCGCTTCCATCGTACAGGGCGGGGGGGGAGCAGTCGTGGGCTTCCTCACTCGCAGTGGCGGCAGGGGCGAGCCGAGCAGAGCTCCAGCCTCACGCGGGGGGATGGGGGAGCAGGGTATCCCCCGGCCGAGGGACGCGGCGGGGCAGGGAGGAGCGAGGGACGGCCGGGGGGGGGGTTCCCGCGGGGCCCTCACCGCCCGCTGAACCTCCGCCTTCCCGCAGGGCGCGGGCGGTGTGTGGGGGTCCGCAGCGGCGGCCCGTCCGTGCGG